AAATCAAATACACACGTGAATATCGCACTCTATCCGGAAGAAATGAAGAAACTAGTAGTGAATTGTAAAAACGAGTAATGGACAAGCTCTCATTCGATATACAAGAAGGATGACACCTATAAACTATCCCGATAGGACCACCTAAAATATTTACATCAGAACCGTACACATCATAATGAGAAAACATATGTTTCGCAAGCTCAAAATTGGGATCATTGAAATTTGCCCTTTTGGAGTGTCACCAGAGAATGCCAACCATGTCTTCCAAATTGCATTCTTCATCTAGAGGTCCAAAACAAGACACCGGCCACAAAACCCAAACATGAAATTCTTTTAATGATATAAGTTTGTGCAAGAGTTTTTACAATTTCTTCAACGGCTGGTAAAATCGATAATTTGCATATCGTGTGATGTTTTCAGTACTTTACTATAAGTAAAGAGATATAGTAAAAAGCTCACTAATCATCATCCTCTCAATGTCAGGTCAAAAAGAGATTTTGTGGGTGTATTCTTAACTTTGTCTGTTTGAAAATTTTGCAAACCTTTATCTTTATATCAGGGTGGCATCATCTACATTTTTTTTTGTCAAAGTTATAACTAAGCACAACTACAATATTTAAATATAGTTATTAAATTTAACAAAAAAACAACAACAATTTTTCATTCAATCAGCAGAATAAAAATTTTAACGATTTCCTAAGGTACAAATCATAAATGTGTGTATGAAAAAAATTCCAATTGTCAAAATAAAAGTCACGACATGCTGAATTGAGATTCTTTATCGTAGACCCCTGTGCACATGCACATCTTATAGACCCCCAATTCCCTTTTTAACTTTCGTAGACCCGTTGGAAGTTTTCGTAGACCCCTGGGGGTCTATATAGACCACTTTGGAAATCACTGATCTACGCTCTAGGGTAAAACGTGCACCTTGTAACAAAGTAAAATAGCGCATTTTCCCCTAAGAGACTTAAAAGCATCGCGTTAGTATTCCAAAGAATATCTTTGATTAAGGCGTTCAAGAAGTCTTAGTTGCTTTCTATAAAGTACTCATGTCTCAGATTCACAAAGAGGGGTTGAGAGAACCACTGCTTGGTAGACTTTGATTTTTATAGACAGGCGGAGCGATTTATTTCGCCACACTCTCACTTTGATATATGTGAGAATTTTAAAAAGGCAGTGTTATTCAATCTTCGACGATAGATACCGCACATATTTAGATAAAGGCTTTAAGGATCGCCGCAGAAAAAAAATATTCGAAAAATAATATTAAAAAAAAGCTCATTTGTAAGTGATACATTTTATTCAATAGGCATATTTGTAACTTTGTTTGTTTAAAAACTATAATTCAAAGCTCTAAACAAAAGGGAGGAGGAGGAGAAATTAATTAAGTGGACCAATCATAATTAGATTCTACTCTAAGTTTTTTGTGTTTTTAGGATTCAAGGATATAATGTGAGTTATAATCTCAAATTAATTTATACAATAGAAAAATATCAGTATGAGTAAAGGTTGGAAAAAGGTGACTAGGAAAATAATATTTGGGTTCAGAACTCATCACAATAGTTACTCTTATACTAAAAAATTGCGTATTAATTCTAAATTTTCCAAAATAAAGTCTTTCTTAAAATAATTATGATAAATCATGTGCAATTTCAAAAGCTCTGTCGCCTTATTTGACTATTCTGTTTTAAAACGTCATGCTATCGTCTGGAAATGGGAGGGGGCGATAGAATGAAAACGATTAATCCACGCTCCTTTTTATAATTTTTGCTAATGATTGCATCTGGCATTAAAAAATAGGGATGGGGCGACTTGATAAGAGAGTTTGGGCATGTATCGCTCCTGCCACAATCCTTTTTCATTTTATAGTTACTAATGATAAAATTTGAGATTAGAGTGTGTGACATAATATATAAATGCGTTCAAATATCAATTTGTAACTTATATTATATAGATATTTAACTGATTTTGTTCACAAACTATGATTTCGCCCCTACCGCCCCCCTCCCCTGGATCCGCCAGTGTACAGCAGTACACTAAAACATTTCTTTGCAAACATGAACAAGTTTTAATGAACTGATTGTCCTTATTCGATCTAGTCTTGTCACCAAAGTAAAAGCCACTTACACGGCTCTCCGCAATTTAAGTGTAAACAATTTATAAACAATTTATTAAAAAAAACGCAGAACATAATAACCAAAGATACCTAGGCAAATTTTGATTTTCATTTTTGTTTCCTCCATAGTTCCCTACTAAATCAATCTACATCAGTGTTCTGTATGAGTGGTACTCCTTTAAAAAGAACAAAATCTACATCAGTGTTCTGTATGAGTGGTACTCCTTTAAATAGAACTAAATCTACATGTGCTCTGTATGAGTGGTACTCATTTAAAAAGAACTAAATCTACATCAGTGTTCTGTATGAGGGGTACTCCTTTAAATAGAACTAAATCTACATGTGTTCTGTATGAGTGGTACTCTTTTAAAAAGAACTAAATCTACATCAGTGTTCTGTATGAGTGGTACTCCTTTAAATAGAACTAAATCTACATGTGTTCTGTATGAGTGGTACTCATTTAAAAAGAACTAAATCTACATCAGTGTTCTGTATGAGTGATACTCATTGACTAGAACTTAAACTACAATGCTCGTTGTTAGTTCTTAGAGTGAAAGAATAAAAGGTAGGCAAAAATATGTGATTAGATTTGAAAGGACAATTGAAATTTTTTTAAAATCTTTTTTTAAAAATTTATTATTAAAGTACAAATAAAAACCGCCGACTATTTATGAAGTGCATTGTTATGATTGTAGATATCCTTTATACAGTGGAATGTTCATGCTTCATTCCCCGAGCGCTATGGTCCAATCATTTTGGTGTGTTGGTGGGGGGAGGGGAGGACGTATCTTGAAGCAGGTTTCCACTGTACCTTAGACGCTCAGCAAACGGGATGGAAACTCGAGCTTACTTGATAAGCGTCTCTTGTCACCCAGCCATATGTCACACACTGTATACCTTATTGAAGGAATTGTGCAAAAATCTATATTGTAAGCGCAAAATAGGCCTACCACTGTCTGACTGACAGATTGATCACGAGATCTCAACTGTCTTAAGGATTCGCATGAAATTTCGTATACAGGTTCTTTTTACTTCCTAGACGCTCACTAAAAACAGGATTTGACAGATTCGGTATTTCTTCAAAAGGCCACAGTCTATATTTAAAGCAAAAAAATAAATAAATAAATAAAAAATAAAAAAATAGCACACATATTCCGTATTTTTAAACCAATTTTTGTTTTCATTTTTCCTAAGTCTACTTTGAATGTTAGGCCTTTTCCGTTTCTTTTTAGATACGATCTAAATCAAAAGAAAACCAAATTCCAAAGAGAATGAGAGAGTGCGCTACTTAGTAGCTCTGGCATGTCTCTACATTCAAAAGGGATCAAATAAACGATTACATTTCATAAAACCAAATTGATATTTCCTTTAGAGAACACAAAGCCATAATGGTGGTGCGGGCACTAGAGGGTGACATCCAAGTGGGAAAAATGCACTTTTCCTAAATGCAACTATAAAAATTAAATAGGCCTACTACTACCTCAAATGTCTCTCACAGTTTAGTATCAACATATCTTAGATCTTAATTTCATTCTATTTGACTAACAATCTTCCTATTATGAGAAAAAAAATTGCGTTGTAGATGCCAGGAGCGTTTCTGAAGCTCAAAAATGTAGGGAAAAAAAACGCTAGGTGTCCAGACCTCAACCTGACAACTCTGAGTGAGCTTAAAAAGCTCCTACAAACATTTTATATGACCAGTTTTTACGTTCATTTTTTGTTCAGGCTGACTTTGGTCAACGTGTTTTGTCCTGTCTACTAATATAACATGTCTCACAAATGTCAGTCGATGTTTTGTCTCCACTTCCCTTAGGCGGAAAATGTCTGTGGGGAAATGTTTTATCTATTTGTAACAGTAGCTAGGTATGTTATTCATAGTATCATCCTCAGCCATCACTGCTCAACCTCTTTTGAACCTCGAATTTTAGTGGTCGTTGAGACAATGATTGTATTCAGTGGGTGGATTTTAATCTCCAGGCTAATTGATTTGTTTGTTCCAATGCGTACTGGGTAAACTGCACCCAATGTGTATAACTTTGAGGGCTTCTTTATCCGTCATCTCGGGTATATATTTAATAGTATTTCAAAGTAATGCTATATCGTCTGCATAATCCAACTCGGTTTGGTTTGCGCCATGGGAACCTGAATGCAGTCTGATTAATATATTTTGATGACATCGTCGATGGCTACAAGAAAAAGAAATGAAGATAAGATACATTCTAATCTCATATGCGTCTTGATGTTGAAGAATTTCAATGTCTGTTGTGAAACAACAGCTTGACTTGTTTTAGACATGTCGCTAAATCTGGACAAATTGTTGCGAGATGTCGTATCCTTTAGAAAGATTGAGAAAAGAGAAGTAGGAAAAGGATGAGGGGGGGGGGTATGGCATTTGATGTGTAAAGGTAATTATTTTAAAACTGATGATAAATAATTAATAAACGATATTCCACTTATTCTTGCGAGTGAATTCTCTTGCATAGATTACAGGATTACAGAACCGAGCCTCGGTTGGTGGAATAATTTGTTAAGGAAAGATTTTACCCGAGAGCTCATTTTGGAAACACTTTTTGTAATAACCAATCTGAAGAGTTGCTTACAAAATCTCAAAACGTGCTGGAACCTTTGGAAAATACATAAAACACTTAAATCTATGTTTATTTGCATGTCACTAACAAATCTCTATTTTTAAAAAAAACTTTTTTGAAACATTAAAAAAGATTCTCATCATCTGATGTTTTCCTAGAGCTTCTACTGTAGGCTGTCTTTATGTTACATGTAACCTAAACAAGAAAGAAAAACGTAGCAGCGTATTTTATAAAAAAAAACAACAATATTTTGATTATTAAGAAAAATAAATGTAAACTGAAAACTATGCACATCTAGTATGCTAAAAATGTTTACTTCTAACAGAGTAAAAATACATAAGTTACAAAATATATACAGGATGAGTCACGATGATTCTGTATACAGCAGCACGTAAAGTTGAGGTCTGTGTTGAGGCTCACATTTGGAAATAAAAAGTAAGAGAAGTGAAAACTAAGTGCAGACAAACACAAGATTGACAGAATGATCAAATAGTTCATCTACAGATTGTGTGTCTATTTCACTGGGGATCCAAGGGGCAAGAAACACAGCGAACTGGTTTTATGGGTCTATGTATGCCGTGTGGGTCTATGTATGTCTGTATGAGTCTATGTATGTCGTGTGGGTCTATGTATGTCTTTGTGGGTCTATCTATGTCCGTGTGGGTCTATGTATGTCTGCGGGGTCTGTATATGTCTGTATGAGTCTATGTATGTCTGCGTGGATCTAGGTATGTCGGCGTGGGTCTCTATATGTCTGTATGGGTCTCTGTATGTCTGTGTCCACGACACTATCAACTAAACGACCCGTCATGCTGCTAGACCATGTTAGTTTTAGTGTCTGACACAGGAATAAAGAGATCTAGGGATTGAAAACAAATCTTAATTCTTGTGGAACTCCTTACAAATAGCCCCCCCCCCCCCCCCCCAAAAAAAAGCTCAAGTATTAAACGATGTCATTCATCCAACTTTATCACTTGCCTTATTAAAGAAGGTCTACGCCTTTTTTTTCACATCATTACTTAACATATTAACATATTCATGTCAAAGTCAAACGTTTTTAGCTTGAACAAAACTATTAATAAGATAAAGAATTCTTAAATAAAGACATTCGGATATCGTTTAGAAATATTTTTTATGTAGTAACTGGGGATAAAATATGTTTAATAATTAGTCTTGTTTTTTTAATTAAAAAGGTTACAACAAATTATTCTAAAAGTTGAAACCTTTTAGACAAAAAAAAAAAGGCTTCATTAATTCAAAATCATCACACTTTAAAAAGATTACAACCGGAAATTCGAATAGGTCCTTGACAATAAACTACAAGTAGTGCAATCAACCATATGGAATAATAAACAAAAGGGTCAGCTTCAATTCTAAATCAAAACATATTTTATTTTCTGTGTAGTACTACACGGGAAAGTTCTTGGACACCTGTTTAAAAAAATGCTATTTTACAAAGCGTATATCAACTCGATCTGTCTACCTGTCTGGCACAACTCGATCTGTCTACCTGTCTGGCACAACTCGATCTGTCTACCTGTCTGGCACAACTCGATCTGTCTACCTGTCTGGCACAACTTGATCTGTCTACCTGTCTGACACAACTCGATCTGTCTACCTGTCTGGCACAACTCGATCTGTCTACCTGTCTGGTACAGCTCGATCTGTCTACCTGTCTGGTACAGCTCGATCTGTCTACCTGTCTGGTACAACTCGATCTGTCTACCTGTCTGGCACAACTCGATCTGTCTACCTGTCTGGTACTGCTCGATCTGTCTACCTGTCTGGTACAACTCGATCTGTCTACCTGTCTGGTACAATTCTTGTACACGTTATTTCTCCAACACCAATTCTCGGATCAATTTGAAACTAAACTGTACTGTTGTCACAGATTAATAATAAATTACTGTAGACGTTACTAATTAATAATGATAATAACGAGACTGTCTTTATCAAGGTAGACATATAGAACTCACTTTTTATTATCACAAAATAAAATTATCTTTTGTATCTAACAAAACATGAATCAATAAAATGAATTAACCAATAAGTTAATTAATTATTGGTAACTAATTATTATTTTTTAATCAAAAAGGGAAATAAATGCTACTTATTGAGAGATGTGGAGTAATTTCCCTTACTATGCTTTGTACACGTTTTTTTCCTCACTTTGCACTCTCGGATAAAGTTGAAATATTGCATAATTATTCATAGCCCATGACAATACACGGGTCAGAAAAAACAACAACACTTAGATAATTAATTAATGGTAATTAATTAATTTTGTTTTATTTTGAAAAAAAAAACAACCTTTTTCCTGCTGTATTGAGATATATGGCAGTGATTTTGAGGTTCTTTCTCCAAGATAACCTTTTTTTTTTAAATATTTTTTTTTATTTTGCTTATTGTGTTTGGGATTTATTCTCCTTCTGAAAACATGCTTAAGGTTATAAATCTTCTGCTAGAATGTTTAGAATGTAACATAGGTCAGTAACATTTTTTTTTGAATACAGAAGATTACTAAATTACTAATGACGTTATAAAAAAAGAGATTGCCTTTTAACTTGACTCCTGATAGCTAAACCTTTTCGAGAGGAATATGCGCCCACAAGCAAATGAATTGGTTGCACCGAAAACTTACAAGTATGAAAGGAACAGCTGGTAAGAATCTTTACAGAGTTTATCTGTTTGTAGAATTCATTCGCAGTTCGATGTACCAAATAGTAAAGGACAAAAGAAATACAAGTTGATGTATTCAAATAACATTATGTATGGCATACTATGTCTAAATATATAAGCCATTACTCTCACTAACTAAATCTTTGAATATTTGCAGATTGTGTTAAAAATTCAGCCTTCTGCCTGAATCATTTCCACATTTGAAATCATGTTGGAATTTGTGTTGATTGAATATATGGACGTACTGGGATAACTGACTTCAGTCGCCTGTGAGTAAGCAGAACCTTCATAAGGAAAGTCTCTGGCACCTGAAAAGTTCTCGATGTAGTTGGGGTTACTGATTCTAGAACTCAGGACACCAGATTCTGCACTAGCCATGTCATCAGGTTTGGCTAAGTAACTGACGATCACCGGTTCTTTGTAATCAGCGGGAATGGTGTCGTATTGTTCTTCTACATCAACATAGCCTTCGTCTGGTTGGTTGTCTTTAGGTTGCATATAGCCTAAACAAGAAAGAAATCGTAGCAATACAGTTGTTTGTTTTACAAAGATATAACATTTTATGCTTTTATTTTGTGTATCCTAACAATTTTTAGTTGTGAAAACTAAAGAAAAATGTATTGCATTACTAAAAAAAAAAGTTATAATCACTACCTCCATTATATGGTCCAACGTATTGATATGTCATATCGTATGGGTATGGATTTTTTTCTTTTGATTTCTCTTTTAGTGAGCGTTTGATTTTGTTTCTTCCACACATAACAACGACAATTATGATGATTATAACAACAGCACCAGCGACTCCTACACCAATACCTATCTTAGCACCAATAGACAATCCACCTTCTGTCTCTGATGAAGAAAACAAATACGACATTAAATTAATGAGATAAATATTTAAAGTTCTATGAAAATTGATGAATTAACCCAAACATTTTCATTGATTATTCTATTTGAAAGCATTTAATTAAGTAGGCCTACATCTGGTGTAAAAATGGTTTACCTGTAAGTGTAAAGCTATAGCTGATACCATTGCTGTCTACTTCATTATTTATATCCAGTATATAATCCACTAAATCTGCACTGGTGGTTGTGTACAGATGTATAACTATGTTTCCTTTTCCTTGCGAAGGATTGGTAGACACATACGTTAAATTGTATCTATTCAGGTCTACTTCCTTATGAAACTTAACACCAGTTGTATACAAGACAAACTTGTAAGGATCAGGATAGGCGGCTATTGGGATCCGGAACTCTGATGTGGCTCCCAGAGTAATGGTGTAACTATTAGTTTCTGATGTTACTTTTGGTGGACCTGGAATGGTAGTTGTTAAAGAGATTGCCAACAATCAGTAAAGTTTGCTTTTTTAAATTTCTCTATTCAGTTTCAAAACTCAAAATCCTGGGTGGAGTACGCAGTTCTCGGAAACAGTTCTAACGATTTTTCTACAAATTTGACAGTTGATGTATATTATAAGAAAAAGAATAACTAGCCATTTGACCACACTGGGAAAAATGTAGTTTTACTATTACAATTTTTCAAAGTATAAAAAACTTAATTACAAATTGGCAAGTGGACTAGAGACAGGCTTTATCTTAAACACAATGTCTTCAAGTATTTTCGCATGTAGGTCCTATCTTATCAGACGTTACTTCAAACAAACAAAAAAAGAAGATGATTACGTCCTACGCGTCATGCATTAAGTCATGCATATTAACTAATGACCTAAATTCTGCCAAGTCACTGGTTTTCATGGCTAGCTCAGGTTACTCATTCCATGCTCTAATAGCGCTAGGTAAGAAGGAGCATTTGTACATATTTGTCCTAGCATATGGAACGAGGAATGTGCCTTTATCTTTGTGTCTTTCTGAATATTTTATTAAATTTAATTTTGTTTTTGTATTTGAAGATTATGGCTCAGTATTTTATGTATAATTGCTATTTTACTTTTAATGAGGAATGTGCCTTTATCTTTGTGTCTTTCTGAGTATTTTATTAAATTGTGTTTTTGTATTTGAAGATTATGGCTCAGTATTGCTATAACCCTAGTGGCGGACTGAAAGGGTTAATGTTTGTGCGGCCTACTGACACACATGATTCAGGCCAATCACACTGGTCAAGGGCTGTTGAACAAGGGACATTACTGCTAATGCACGCATTATGACCAATGTTATGGTCATGTGACCAGAAAGCCTTTACAGACGAGAGACAGTGTGTTAGAAAGGACAGTAGAGTCCCGGACAGCAAGCAGTAAGGACTGTGTGCCACGAAGTGAGTCCTCGAAAATGTAGCTGTACGAGCTAGAGAGACTTGTAGTGATTAGTTAGGCAGTTCTGTAGTGTAGCAAAGCATTTGAAGTTAGTGTAGCCAATTGTGTTGAATTGGCTGTCGATGTAATTGTAAATAAACCGCCACCTTGTTTATTAAAGCTCTTGTTGTCAAGTTGATGTTTTAGATGTGTTGTTGGGTGGTGTTTACAGAAGGCCTGATTGAGAAGAACGTAACAGTATTTTATGTATAATTGCTATTTTACTTTTAAGTCTTCTATCCTGAAAGCTTTCTAAATTTAGTGATTTTGTGTTACTCAAACAAATGTGAATATTCGTTTCTTATGGATCTCACTGCTCTATTTTGTGTCTGTTCCAGTTTCTTATTATATAACACCTAGGTCTATATAATATATATATATATATACTAGACATATTTTACCCGCAACCCGCGGGTCTTTATTTGCGTATTAGTGTCGATATAGTCACTGAGAGTGTTTTTAAAACATTGAAACGAAATAATAATGTAATAAATAAAGCGAATTTGTAAATGTGAAAATAGTATGAATGAAGCCATCAAATCAATATAGCTAATCTACTTAAATCCATTTTTTTCAAATTAAAACATTTGCTTGTAGGCCTACATATATTTGATTAAAATTTGAAATGAATAGACTTAATTTTGTATGATCATGTGTTAAAGTATAAAGTAGATCTTGAGGTAGACATAGATCTAGATCTAGACTAATCTAGAGTTAAAAATTAGCTTTTATAGAGCTCATTCTGTACTGCGTGAAGGCTTTGCTCTGCGCATGCGTGACCTTTTTTCATGAATGAATATAGGCCTATCTCAACACGGCTACGCAGCTTAAGCGAACAGCGAACGAATGTATTAAAAATGCTTTAGAACAAAAAATTTGAATGTTAATTTTATTAAAATATGAAATGAATGGACTATACTTAGTATGTTCATGTGTTAAAGCATAAAACTATCTTTGCGAAAAGAAGTTTTATCATCTTAGAGTTCAATAAGAGATTTAGACCTAGGAATATACTCAGTAGAGAGATGTGTTAATGTGTAACCATTTGGTAATGTCTAATGAAAGAATGTGCACCGGGATATCTAAATTCGCGGATATAAATAACGAATTAATGTAAAAATGCTTTTGAAACACAAATTTGAAGGTTAATTTTATTAAATAATGAAATCAATAAACTATATTTTGTATTTTCATGTGTCAAAAAAAAAACTATAAGTGCAAAGTTTAGTTCTTAAAATTAGATCTAGATCTAAATCCTTTCGATCTTTTCTCATGTCAACATTGTAAACATGGCCTAGATTCTTAAAATACTATAGCTGTAATAGAATAGTTGTTGTTTTTTTTTGAGGGTCATTAGTTTGTTTTAGGGCCACAATACATACACTACGGTCTAAGTTGGTACCCAAGGAACATTTCTGCCAAGTTTGATCAAGATTGGTCAAGCGGTTTTTATTTCTATACGGGGACATACATAAATACATACGCCAAACATTCTACTTTATA